GGAACGTTGATAATGTCGATGTATGTGATAGCGTCATATCATACGGTCACGATTACGTGGTTCAGTGCATACCAAAGAAAGGGTTCCTTTAAACCTCGAACGCGCGTCCAATTTGTATATGAGATAGAACGAAGAATCACCCGGGACTCTATCATGCGCCGTTTAAATGTCAAAGGTCAATCGCTCTTTGTACCTATCTTACTATTGTTGGTTTACATCCTAGACATACATTTAAGTGCCCTGGTAAACGTTTGGGACATTCGGGAAGCGGTGGTTTTCGCCTGAGGCCAAATGCCATTGTAATATGCTGCTTTGACCGGCCATAAGGCTGATACGCAAAAGAAATTCAAAATGAACACGGGTTCGTGATCATGACGAATGGATCCACTCGCTCTAAATCGCCGGAAGACGCATTTTTTAAATCCTTCTGCGATCGTTGGGCCGTCCTCGACGAGCTAGCCTAAGCGATAACATGGCCGATTAAAATTCAATTCAAACAAGCGATTAATTATTGTCTTTTTGACCGGGGCAAAGGAGGGATTTGAGTCAATGCGATAATCTTAAACGGGTGCGTAGCTTGCATGTTTCTTTGGGTTGTCCTCATAGCGCCGGGCGTCCCTTCCTGGTTTTGCAGTAAACTCACGAACCAACATACTGCTGCACGCTTCGAAGTAAGCCTCTTCAATGAATGCTGATTGCACACGGTGATTAGTACGGCCTTTCTATGGTGAACACCTTTTGAATTTTCGTGGTATTGTTATAGCATATTATCTCGAAGCGACGAACAAGCTCAGCACGATCGTCATAATTTGTTGCCAACCTAAAAAAATGTTTTTGCCTCCATCTACCATGTAGCCTAAGGCAATCACATTACTTGCCTACGATTTTGTATCTCCCAATCATATTCATCATCAACTTGGTAAAGTTAGAAGTGAGCAATCCAACTTTCTCCATCTCGCGCCTGATAAATACATTCTGAACGCATCCGCTGTATCACGTCTTCTTGTATTTAACAATTGTTTTATTCTTTATTGCGTAATCTCCACAATCTTGAACTTTTATTCTTTCCTGCTAACACTAGTGATTTGTCCAGTCGAGAGATAGCGCTCAGAATGTGGCGGTAATGATCATTAAGAAAATCCGTGCCTTTTTTATATGTAAAGCGGAACGAGCCAGTCGATCTGCACTCTAATTTGAATTGTGCTCAACGCGTAAAAAAAATTTTCCGACGGCCACGATATAAGTTGACCTAAGGCTGTGAGATGCAGAAATTGTATCCCTGGTGCCCTGATATCAATGTTACCTTGCATTTGCCTGACGATCGGGTATAAAAATACAACAGATGACAACTCGCCTTCTTTTGCGTCGCTAGCAGCTTGCAAAAGTATTAATACGTGACAATCTGCCTCATTCACGTCTAATTTAGAATCAGAACGCGACGCGGTCGACAGTAACATCCACTCGGAAAATTCCCATATCACTGCACTGTATCCCCCTTTCTTTAAAGGTGTTGACCCGTAAAAGCTGACTATTAAATATAATTGCCGTGTTTGACCGTAGGGGCCGGCTTACTGATTGTCTGTCTCGGTTGCTTCCGTGGTGCAATCGCGATTAACATCTCATCTATATCCTTCCGCAGTAATATAATCGTTGAAAGGGTGCCGATGATTTGTGCTCTTCTATATTGACAAATCGCCAACTTTCAAATCGACGGTAAAGTTTCCCATCTATGAAGTCGTTCATTGAGACCTGACGACTGCATCAACCATGACAATAGAGTATTTTGTGAGCACCTGAACATCTCGCGAGACCAAGAGCGCATTCCAAATATTCATCATCCGAAGAAGGACAAGAACTGCCTTCTCTACCGCTCCATAATCGATGTCATTTAATTTTAGCATTTGAATTGTAAACAGAACAGGCCAATTCTGTCCACTATGTTTCTGTAGCAAATCTGCGAATAACGCCAATTTGCTAGCATAAACCACGATCACTGATCAGCGATCTAAACTAAAATGCCGGAGCACCGAAGTTTGAGTACCTTTGGCTTTAAATTTAGTATATGCAAAAATGGCCGTCTTCCAACAATGAGTGCTCTACACGTAAATATTTTACTACGACTGGATCTTAGCCATTCATAGTCACTAGCTGATGATTGTAATTACCCTCACGTCACTTACCGCTATTATTAATAATATGGATACAGAGGACGTGATCATAGCGTTGGGAGGCTTAAACCTTTGTGTATTTGAAACCTCTAATCTCATGAAAGCAGCTTTCCTCAAATCGCGAATGACGAGAGTTGTACATGGTTATTAATTCAATGAAGCGACTGAGAAGTTTAGGCTTCCTATAAAGGGCTGCATGTACCGCAATGGCTGGCGGTCCTTCGCGTCAGCTTCGTTTTTTTTTACAGACACTAATTGCACAAGGTACTTAACCTTGTTTTATAGACCGACGATCTTAGATAGGATGATCGACAAATTTCGCTGAAAAAGGCTTCCAGCGATCTGTCCACCTATTTATAGAGAGCATTCAATGATGACTCTAGGATTAAAAATGTCATCAACATACGAACTTCTACCTACAACGTAGAATTTTGATGCGGGTTTGGCCTAATTTTTGTAAACACGCCGACCTGTTGAGACATGTCGTAATCAATTGGCCCTTGCCGGTCACCGATTGTGAGACATACATATAATGCATTATGCACCACACGCTGACATATCTGCGGAGCTTTCTTCAGCCTGAACGGCATGCGTAAGTATTCATAATTACCGAGGGCGCGATAAAACCATAGATCATTCATGCTCTTTCTTTCATCTTTACAACCCGAAATTCCGCTGGCCATATCCAAGGAACGGTACTATAGCGCTTTTTCCAGACCCTGCAAGAAATCGCTTATTAAGGGGATATTATATCTCCTATTAGCCCCAGTCGAATTTAAAATTCTTCAATAGTCACTACACAGTCGTATATCCACCCCATTCTACTACAATCTTGACGATCGGGCGTATTCCATATCAAAGTAAAGGAAAATGTAATTTTTGTCGATTGCAATTCTTTGATCAGGTCCGCCAAATTATCACTAAACTTTAGGATGGCTGGCCCTACTCTTTGCGATTGATGCTGCTTCTCCAACACCTTTATTGCAGATTACACCTCGCGCAGCAGGTGGTAAAGCATTTTATTTGCCAATCAGTAGTTGTAGTTTCTCCCAGATCAGCTAAATTTATTTCTCTTGCTCTTCGGTATACGGAACTTCTGGGTCGCCCACCTGTATTCGTTATTTTTACCCCGGTCAGCATCGAGTCTTATTCTAAAGAGACTTCCATGTGTTAAGTTACGTCTTCCACAAATACAATTTACTATCGTAATAGTATGACGAGTTAAAGTGTGTTCCTTCGCTTGTAATTGGTGCTATTTGGTTCACCTAATAATTAGAGTCGAAGCGCCTCACCATCCTTACCAGTAGTCTCGTCTGGGTATTTATGAAGCAGTCTTTCATACGATCATGTACCATATCCTTGATCTGTATGTAGGTAAGATCACCCTTACACTCGTTTAGCTGTGTTTATGAATGTTCCCGCACCAGCATAACGTCTTCCATCACTTCAGTGGGGTGCCCATGTCGGCAATAGCTAGTAATCGCATCAGATTTCTATCTATTATACACTCTTTCGGTCTAGCTGATCGGAGACCGAACCACAAACCATATCACCGTCATCCTCGTCATTATTACTACCATCTAGAGTGATTGCGTTAAATGCCACTTGTTTGTCCCGGTTGTGGTCCATCAAGGTTATCTGGTTCGTCCACGTGATCACACATCGGCATATCACCTTTAATTTTGCTTCCTCTTTTCCCAAGGCCGTCTCTGCGATATACTTTGGCGGTCATTTTGGAACACGCGTTAATATTGAATTTAATGGGTGTTCGACTAACGGTCCATGCACTTCGGACAATTCTTCTTCTTCTTCATCCTTAGTAGCTTCAAACGCGAGTGTCTGCCACTTCTGATGTCGCCGTGACCTTACGCACATATACCAAAGTCATCACGGTATCATGTCCGCTGGCATTTATTGTCCGAATGGCGTCGTTCGTTAAGTAATCACCTTTTGATCATTCAGAGTGGTCAGAAAGGGTACGCAAGACTTCCGAGTACGTTCGTAACCGCAGGTACCCAGCAAAATGAAGTGTTAGCCACAATTTTGACTGTAATTATTCCCGATCAACGTTTATAAACAAGTAGTTACCCACCGGTATTTCCAAGTACTTTTATCCCGCAACGATTCGTTTTATCTTCGCCTTACACGGTGGTATTACACCTTCCAGTTGTCCGGAAAACATATAATCCCATCCGCCTAGTCAGGGATTTTTTTTAAATTTAAGTGTGAGGGTGGGTATAATGGGGCTACTTAGTGCTTAGTTTTAGAAAAAGTCTTAGACTCAAAGAGTCTCTTAGTTATATTAAACTAATAAAGACGTACAGTCGTTCAATCACACAAGCTTAGCAATCCCGGTTTCAAAGAGATTGCGATTCACAAAATCACGCACTAAGTAGCCACTACTAGTTAAACAAGAGTAAACAAAATTACTAGGCTAATGCTCTTAGCAATACACTACGCCTTTACTGGGCGCTTGTCTGACGATCAAAAAGGAGAACTGAATTTTATCTATTCTTTAACTACAGTAATAAACCATAAAAACTTGTAGAACTGACGTTTACATTGCGATCCTATGGCAGAATCTTATTCCTTATTCCTCATCGATAATGTGCGGTATTACCGTTAGTAAATGGTACCAAGACTGTACTTCTCAGATCCACCGATCTTTACTTGGTATGGACACATAACATAATTGGTTCAATAACCACTGTGTAACACCGTTACACCCTCCCCCATTAAAATTTCGACACCCTCGCGCCGACAATACTCCTACTGCTCTTTGAGGACTTATAGCTTATGCTCTTGACCATAGTGCTTACAAAACATCTCAAAATGACTGAGTCAAAGCCGTCTTATAACACCCTTGAGGAAAACCCTGAAGAGGTTGTGGTGGACTATGAAAGTGAAACCGCCACGTCGAGTATCTACTACCATCCTCCAGATACGCCAACGGCGCGTGACACCACGCATGTAGCGCCTGATGCATTCGTGGATCGTGAGGAGGTACCTTTACCCCTTGCACTGCGTGCAGCCTTCGACCCTACTTTGAGTGTGTTGCACAACACGCTTGGTTAGACCTAGCTCAATGTCTTCAGTCGGCCGACGATCGCAGGCATCAAGCACATTGTGTAGCCACAGCGCGTGCTCACAGTGGCTACCGCTTCATGCCACCGAGTGTGAATGAACGCATTCGTCAGACTGCCGACCAGTCACTCGCAGCATGGGTCACGGTACCTAAGGCTGCCAAAGCCACGACACTAGCGGATAGAGTGGCCCTCAGATCAAAATACTTGGAGTCGAGCGTATGACCGTCCAGTATAACCTCGACTGGCTCAATTAGCAAGCACGAGGTGCATCAGTGTACGACATGAGGACAATATCTGTCGTCCTCTTCCCTGGTGAGACGGAGGCGGAAATGATGCAGTCCCACTTCATGTCTTTATTATGAGGAACAACGGTGCGAAACACATCCTCACCACCCGTGCACTAGTACAACAACCCACGAACTATGTAGGCTTGCACGTAAACGTGCCGAAAATTTGATGTTCGAGTTTTTAAATTCTCGCTCCCGAGATCATGTAGCAATGCCAGACAATGCTCATCACGTGCATATGCCGCGCGAACTAGATCCGCAGTGGATGACGACAGAGTCTTAACAAGATAAAGCTCATCACCAGGTCTGCGTGACAACACATCAGCCAAATCATTTTGCTTGCTCGGCTTATACTTCACCTCGAAATTGTATTCAGCAAAGAATCAAAACCAACGGACCATGTAATGAAAGAGGTAAGGCGACTGTTTCGCAGTGCGTAACGACGCAAGATCTGTGAAGATCACAAAAGCCTAAAAGCCAAGTAGGGATACTTTAAACTCAACACAAGCATAATTCATTGTTAGTAACTCTTTGTCATGAACTAACTACTTCTTCTCTGCATCCTTTAGCTGACGAGACTCATACCGAATGACGCATTCATGTCCATAAACATCTGCCTGCACCAATGCACCACTAAAAAAAATCAGACGCGTCACAGACGACACTGAAAGGCCGCTCAGATTCAGGTAAAGACGAAACTGGAGCATGAAGGAGACTGTCCTTCTTATATTCAAAAGCTTGAGCGTGGACTGCGTCCCAACACCAAACTGGATCCTTCTTGGGGATATTGACTAATGAATGCACCATGTCAGCGTTGTTTGCACTGTAACTGTGCAAGTTATTAGCAAGTCCAAGCCATTTATCGTAGTCTTTTTGGTTTGACGGAACCGGCCAGTTAACATTTGACTATGCCGTAGCGGGATCCGCTCGAATTCCACGCTTTCCAATGAAGCACCCGATAATGGGACTTTCTTCTATACCAAATATGCATTTTGATGAGATTGCATACAGCTTGTTTGCATGCATGCACTAGAGCACTCGAGCACTGCTCGTAAATGGTCAGTGTGATAGTCCGCGTTTGACCTACCACGGTCTGCACTGCTATGGACAAACATGTCATCGAAATAGCTTTGTGCACATCCTTCATGAGGTCATTACAACTGCTTCACAAGATGATAAAATGTTGCTGGAGCATTACACAACCTTTGAGGCAAGACAAGCCACTCCTATAGCATACCGCTTGGAGTACTAACCGCTGTGAGCGGAATATTACTCACTCGCATGAGCATGTCATAATGCATACCAACTAAATTGAGTGCACTGAACATGGTACAACCTACCATAGCGTTCCGAAGAACATTCTTTCTTGGCATAGGCATCTGTTTCGGTATAGTGGCTACATGAAGCTTATTGTAAGCATGCACAATGCGTTAATTTCCGCTTTTCTTCCTAACCCAAAATGTCGGTGTCGAGTGCAGGGGCTTGATCTCACGCACCATGCTAGCCGCTTGCTTTAAATAGAAGAACTCATCAATGAAGTCACACGACTCCTTTTTAAGGACCATTACCGTGTCACACAGTATTAGATTCCAGGAACCGGGTACAAATTCATGACGTGCGCCTCGATCAGTATGCAGAGTGGAAGGAGGATCATGACACACCACATCCTAAAACTCATAATCGATGGATAGAACGGGTTTTTAGGATCTTCCAAGATCGACGACCTACTTCGAGCACTCATTGCTCCTTCGTGTCTTCAAGACAGCCTCATCAAGTGACGACGAGTTCCACGCACTACTGGATCGAATGACCACCTCTTCAGATTAGTCACCCGACTTCAGGACCAGGCCAAACTCATCGATAGACAATTCTTCTAGCACTAACATAGTATTCAGTGAGGGTAGAGTCTCAAGACTCACTGACCCATCTACATCACCAGTCACTTCATTAACGAGTATATATAGCTGCTCTCTAGTATCACTTGGTGACGTATCAGACGCCTTGAGTAGCATAGCAGCAATCTGGAGTCTCTTTCGTCTCTGTGACGAGACTGAACGTCTCAAAGCGACAGGAATTTTCTCGTTTTCAAGGTTAATATCATTATCCTACACTTGCTCTGTACAAGAACCGGTGTCATTACTGATACACGGAACATCAATATCCCCAAGGTTACCTTAACCATCAACCTTAAGTTACTTGCTACCAGATCCAATGTCATTACCAACATCAAGGAATATACCTCCCCAAAGTGACGAACTGCATCATACTAAATTTTTGTTCAATATCAGGAACGATGTCATTACTGACATCTGGGACTACACTGTCCCCAAGGTGACGAACTACGTCAACCTTAATTTGCACAATATCGGGGCCAATTTCTGTGTCGACGTCTGGGACGACACTGTCCCCAAGGTGACGAACTGCGTCAACCTTAATTTTATTTAAGTCAGATCCTATAAATTTACCGACATCTGGTGATGAGCCACTTCCAGTAATATTACCACCCAGTGGGTACTTACGTGCCACTCCACGCTCGTCAACGGGGCCTCGCTTTTGATGACTTGGTGTTTCACCATCAATGTCCTGATTGACATTGATTGTGTCGCAATCTCGGCCAACATCACTCAGTGGGTACTTACGTGCCACTCCACGCTCACCAGAAGGGTTCAACCCATGTGACTTGGCAATAGGTCAACAATGCAATCAGCATATAGTGATTCGTTCTCTAAACTATGTATAATCGACGATGTACGTGTCGTATCACGAGTAGCCGTGAGCTTGGCTCGCAACTGACATTTTCGACATCGTCCAGCTTATCGAGTTCAGACATACCGACGATTAGCACACTAACAGTCTCAGGCTGTGGATCGCGCCAATAGCGCTTCTGTTTCCTAGCAGAGGTGAGTTTATGACTCTCCAAAGCTCCACTAGTAACAGTGCGCGTTGCGCCTAATGTCTTTGACCCCAAATCATTCCATGGCTCATGGCGTTCTAGTCAAGCCATTATAAGGATGAGATCCTTCATCTCATCGAAGTCAAAAACTGGACAGCGGGTTCAACACTGCCAAAGTCCGAAAACTTAACGCTTAAGTCAACAGGAACATTAGGCACAATTACTAATGCACCTGTCGCCAAGAGAATAGCGATATTCTCTTACTTTCGCGCTGTTAGAGCCTCAGCATACTACTGACTTCCTTCCGGGGGACAACGTCGGACGTAATTTCCGGACGCCCGGGAGTCGATCAGCATATGCAATGGCTTATCAAAGCCCTTCACCGTTGCTTTTGCAACTAACGATCCTGGCTTGTATGCATGCTTCGTAATATTGCTACAGAAGCCACTTGGGACTAGGCTCTGTTCTCCATCATCTCCCAGCGGTACACCAGAGCCTAAATCCTTCCCAGCAGGTTGCCCTCGTCTACTGTTACTCAGCATTTTCCTGCTCCTTACTAAGTCGTTGGTTAGCGACGGGAGGTCGGCTCGAACAAGCCTGTCTGGTCCTTCTCATGGACAATTGGGGAGAAGGTGATTGGTGCTTCCGCACATAAAACATCCACCGATGTTCGAACGCTATTAAACAGAGTAAAGCCTAGCTTCCTCGTCTCTCTCAGCAAGACTAATATCCATCATGGGTTCTGCCCATGGGTTCTGCCCAATCCATAAGATGAGCTTACTCGACGAGTTTGACTGGAACTTATTAGTTCCACAGCGGGCAGCTTACAAGTCGAACTCTGCGTTCAACTTTACGTCCACTGCACATGCCGATTATTGGGTACGGAACACTTCGGTCCTGGCAACGCCAGTGCGAAGACCCTCCATAAATTTTACCAAACCATTTCAGGCAAAGGGTCAAGCAGCATAGCAGCGATGAGAGCTCGCAACTCCTGGACATAATCTACTAAGTACTTTTTACCCTGGCGGGTTGACAGAAAGTGTGATAGCAAGCGATATGCCTGATTAGGCAGGGAAATTGCCGTAACAGTTGCTGTTTTAGCATAGCTTAGGTGGAAAAAGCCTGTTATATCGAGGTGCCAAAAGTGAAGGCCCACTCCCTGGCTCGCCCACCTGACTTCGATTGATCAAGACGCACCTTTTGCCAATCTGACTGCAGCAGGGCCGAGCTGATGACAACCCTCATCTCTCGAACATACAAAAGGAGATTCTCCCTTTCTCCTCGAAAGTTTTAAGTCTTAAGACAAATGGATGGGTCCTTAACTCAGTATCAGGTATCGGAACATACCGAGTGGGCATGGAAGCTGCCATATGGTCATAAAGCTGTCTAATATACGTGGACTTAAAGTTCGAGAAGGCCTCGAAACGTGCACGAAGTGCGTCTGGGCCTTGCGACGCTACAAGAAGCACTTTATCGTGCTTGGTTAACGTCATGAGATTCTCAGCGTGACCTGCTAGTCTACAGAGAGGTTTATGGTCGTTCTCATCCTCGCAGAGGATTCAGTCCGAGAAGGTGTAGATTGAATACAAGTGGTCCAAAGTGTAGCGGGGCTACGTATCGCTCCTTAGCAACGAAAGTCTTAGACTTAAAGAGTCTCTTAGCTTTAAAAAAACTAAAAAAGACGTACAGATGTTCAAGCGTTTAAGCGTACAAGCTTAGCAATTCCGGTTTCAAAGAGATTGCGATTCACAAAATTACGCACTAAGTAGTCACTACTAGTTAAACACGAGTAAGCGCCTTTACAAGGATAATGCTCTCAGCAACACACTACGCCTTTACTGGGCACTTGTATCTGACGATCAGTAAGGAACTGAACTTTCTTTATTCTTTAGCGACTTAAACAAAATCCTAAACCTTGTCGGACTGACGTCGACATTGCGATCCTATGGCAGAAGTCTTATTCCTTATCCCTCATCGATAATGTGCGGTATTACCGTTGGTAAATGGTTCCAAGACTGTACTTCTCAGATCCACCGATCTTTACTTGGTATGGACACATAACATAATTGGTCCAATAACCGCCGTGTAACCCCTATTCAGAGTTAATAGTTATTTGCGAGGGTGGATATTTTACGCCTCACTTTTGTAATATACGGGGTGCCTTCAGCTAAATGGGGAGGCCGCTAACGTTTACTTGAGCGAACAAATTAAATGCAATAGCCGATTCGTCGCTTACATATCTGTTTGGAGTAGCAGAGACCACCGCTACCCAGTGTTGTCTTTTTGGGGTTTTGCTGCCTCATCGATTGCTTCTGCCGGCGACAGGCGTATAAGGTTGTGGCGATCGAGTGAATCCCTGACTTGTAATCTTAGTTAGAGCAAATTGCACGCAATTAATAGTGAAAGGTTACATCTATCTGAGCTGCTTGGTCGGTTGCAACGATTTGAGCGAAAGTGTCACGTTACGTTGCATGTCGTTTCGCATGGGATTGAAAGGTCGAATATCATGCGGCGCTGCGAGCTTATATGCTGTTGTAGCCTTTTATTCATACGTCAGTCGATATAAAACTTGAGCACAAAACATAGCGCAACTCCAAGTACAATGCGATATATAAGATTGATGCCTTTTTCGCATGATATGTAACTAACAGCAGTATACAAGCAGTCCTGTACTTGTCTGGTTATGTACTAGTAAAACCAATGCAACCATATGCTAAGCTAACATTGGCACCTAGTTTGGCGTAAAAAACACGAGTATACGAGATTATGTTGACTTGGGTGCTCGCTCTTCGTCAAGATGAAGTGTTGCATCACATTTTCGGTCTGACGCTGAACAATCAAAGAGAACATGTGCTATTTTGAGCGCAGAAATCGCATAGATATCGTCTTGACAGGCACCCGACAACACTTCTCTGGTATACACTGGCGCAGCATGAACACATACCGGCCCTTCATGAATAAGGAGCAGATTGTTTCTGTCTGTGTTCTACCCAGGATATTTAGTGCAATGACAGCCTCTTTGGGGCCCGAAAAGTCACTTTCTTTCAAGTTAGCCATCCAATGTCAGGTGGTCCGTGTACCTGCTTAAGTACGAACAAAAAGTCAACTCGTCGATCGCCAAGAAGCAGAACTTTTCGCCGCGACAAGTGACAGCGACCGTTGCGGCTGCGAGTTTCTTTCCATGGACCTGGACGCGACGCTCGAGCGTCTGAATGCGCTGAAGCTGCACGAGGCAAACACTGGGACTAGTACAGCGGCTTCCATCCAAGCACGGGCTCGTCGGCATGCAGAGCAGGCGGTGCAGCTCCATCAGGAGGTGCAGCGACTCCAGGACGAGAACGAGCGCCATGTGCGCGAGCACGAGCGGCAGATGCAGCGCTTTCAGTATGAGATGCACGAGATCCAGAGGCGACTGGAGGCCTCGGAGCACCAGAACCGGCTGTTGAAGGCGTCACTTGGCGACGTGGTCACGTACAGACGTGCGGCAGAGACGCAGCAGCTGGTGATTGAAGAGCTTCAGACACAAGTCAAGCAGCTGCGGAGATCGAACTACCGACTGCAGTATATCGTGCAACAGCACGAGCCACGAGGTCCAGGCTCGTTTTTGCCACCGCGACCGCCAGATATTTGCTGAGAAAAAGAACAAGAGTGCTACACTTTTCCACTCGATGAAAGTACAGACAGGCCGAGCGTATTGTGTACCATGTTATGTAATGAGAGCGAGAGAGCAGTGGTAAAACCGGGGGGGGGCAGACTTCTTCTCGTCGTGTCGTCGATGTATGAGCGACCCACGGAGGAACGCAGAAGCGGCTACCGCAGGCATGCTGGCTGTATTTTGCTTGTTCTTAGCTGCTGCATAGTGTTAAAGTCATTGTGTCGAAGCGATAAATCAAAATGAAGAAGCTTGTTCGAGTGACATTTCTCACAAAGCACGAGCGGTTGTTGCGATTGTACGGCAAACGTGTCAAGCTCTTCATGTGGATCCGAATCGATCTCTAGGTTTAAACGGCGCCCTGTACAACACTGCAGACCTCATGGAAGAAGCCGATCAGTCACCGCGAATTCCGATTGTTGTGCGACTGTAATCTATTTCGAACCTTTAATTTCGAATGTTACGTTAACACTAGTATTGACATTGGTCTGTCCGGACACTATGTGACTCACTCTAACAGTGCGGCTCAAACAACCTCATAATAGAATTAAGTGACCCACTCCCACTCGGACATCGACGTCTGTGGCCCACCTCGTGAGCAGGTCAACGTCAAGTTTACCGACGTGATGCTCCTCCTCGTGCTGCGTCGTCCGTCCGTGCAACGCCATTCGGCACTTCAAGACCGTCTCGTCCACCGAATTGAGCCTCTCCGCTGGTTCAGCTCCAAGTACATTCGTCTTACTGTAGCTTAAAATGATAAACAAAGTTTTAGTACTACTTCATACCAACTAGGAGGGGGCGATCGTTAACTCACGTCCACTTTGAGTATATTTGTATGTGTGTGTAGTGTTCTGCCGAAGAATGGAGAAAAGAGCAGTGAGAAAGCAGAAGAGACCAACACCAAGTTGTGGGACAAAGTACTGGCGAATCAACCGGATCAGGCAGAGACGCAGAGAGGTGATCTACTTTATGAATACGTGCGGAAGGTACGCACACGATGAGCTTGATAAGTAGCCACAAGTAGGAGCAAAAAAGAACGAGAAGAGGTTGACGACATGTCGTTATTTGTGTGGGGTCCTATAACTATGTCACGTAGCGCTATTTCGGCCTCATGTCGGCCGGATCTCTTGCTCATGTAAGTCATGGAGTAATGATCTTGAATACCTGACTGGCCACTAAAAAGTTATTTTTTAATTCTGACATTGGTGATTGGGATTATTATGGTGGTATAGATTGCCTTCTGGTCGTGGCTTAAGGGTTACGAACAGAGTCTTGTGGAGAGTGAGTGGTTAGAAGATAGTTGGTGTTTTTTTCCATCAAGTTAATTTGTGTCGGGTGCTTTATAAATTATTTCTGCTCTGTAGTGCACCCGGTGCTGGGCGAGCCGACGCTCTTTTCGTTCATTTCGGATGATTTCGGCTCCTCTGTTGGCTTTGGCACGAGTATTCTGCTGGCTGGACTCATTGGTTTTCAAGCAAGAGTAAGGGGAGAACAAATTGAACGACTTTGACTGGGATCCATCCGTTCAAGAATTTACCATTGTTGTGGCTGATTGTTGATTGTACAAGCGAACGGTCGCCCGCATTTCCGTTGTTGCTGGTGGGGACAAGTTGCGCTTCACGACCCACAAATTCTTTGGAGTACGTTGTGTTGGCTGACTATCGCAAAACTTGGTCATGTTGTTGCTTATTGTTTCGATTATCGTATGGGTGTGGTAGAATTTAGGAATGCCCATTGACGTTCCGGTCTCGTATGTGTCTGCACACCCCAACACCAAAAACAACATCATTCTCAAGCTAGCCAACACGCGCGGTTTTTTTCTGGTGGACACGAAAGGCAGATTTTTCAACCGCGATAAGCTCGAGCGGATGATTACGTTTCGCACCAGTTTTGTAAGAATTGAGCTTGGTGTTGTGGTTATGAGAAGAGCAGTCTAATATTTGACCTGCTGTTTACAGGGAGAGCACGAAAAGATGATGGAAGAGAAGATGACAGTAGAAGTACGGACGGACTTACCGCGTGTCGATCTGAAGACTGAAGCAGCGCAGAACGCGGCCAAGCGAAAAGTCCCGACAGGACCGCACTCACCGGCCCGCCATGGGAATTTACTTGCCAGGAAGCACACAAAAGTGAAGAAGCGTGGCAAGAAGAAGTAGGTCTCAGATGCTGCGGGTGGTGCGCAGCCAACTCTAGCGTTTTGGCCTGATCCATGGAGACTGCAGCATTTATCAGAGCGACGTTGCTCGTAGATTTGATCAGAGTTAGACGAAGCAGAAGAATGACCTACATAGAATAGCTGAGGTTTTGTCACTGTTGCGGCGCGCTTAACGGTAGCACTGGTATGTCCACGTGAATCGGGCGTTGTTTCAAACATTTCATAGTGGTGACGAATCCAGAATAACAATCATGACACTTGTCTCTGAGTGGTCAACAAATGTTCTAGATAAATAGATGAACTCGTGACAATTTTGAAGTTCTACATTTTGGTCCTGTTGTCAGTAGCATATTCGAAAGTGACTGCACTATGTCGTTTTCGTCGCACCGTCATTTTCCTCGCGTTAACACAAATACAAAGAATGTCTCGTGACTAATCGAAGGAAGATGTAATCTGTTGTCGAGATACGAAACCTCCTGTTCTAAATAATTGGCTTGCTAACATTTGCATAAGAATACGTAGCTTCGCATATCGATGGATCAACATCCATGGACTGCGTGCTACAAAGCGCGGGTTATCGCACTTGGCACATCAAACCAGAGTGAGCACGATTGTGCTACGGAATCGTACCGAATATTTCTTTGTCAACGCTTAATAGCTCACGGTCGGTAGATTCTCCTGTTCCTACTTTTAAACGAGCGAGATTGTGAAATCGAGAGATGTTGTTTCGACTGATGGTACTGCCACCTTCACGAACAGATACAGTCACGAATATATTATCGTACGAGGCGCGTCTCTTGCGATGTCGTTTGTTGTATGAATGGAATCGCCCAGCTGCTTGATCGTTGCAGAGTAATTTACAGGTGAAAGTATGTCTGGAGATGCTTTCTATCTCATCCAAGGAAGCTTTGGTCGTGTGATTTTCCTTGGCAATAACACACCAACAGCGAGTTTGTGATCCAGTACGAACTACACTTGAGTTATGACATCGTGAGACTAAATTCTGTAGATGATGATCAACAAGTATTTGGCCGTCGGCGGCTTTTGATCGGAAGTCGGTAAATGTCCATTAAACTTGCCAGCCTGTACTCATCTACGATCAATATTCATTCTCTCGACAGCAATCCCTCTAACGAAGAACGACCGATCCAAAGCAGTGCAGGGTCTTCACGAACAAGCACAAGCTTGTCTACTTGGTCTTCAAATCCCAAAGCCAATAAGAACTCGAGACACTCGGGAAACTTTGCGACTTGCCCGTCAAACAGCCGATTCGCCTTTCGGATGGACCGAAACCTGACATCCGCTGGATGTGCAATGATGTTGGACACGATTTTATAAAGCAGCGAAATCGCGCTCGGATTGCCTACAGCTTTGAAGTGGCGCTTGAGACGTTGCGTTGAATCGTGAATGCGTCTTTCACGATCGCCTGCAGCGTAAAATCACAAGTATTAACATACGAGAAAAAGCCTAGGCAGTACTATGGACCCACTCATAGCCAGCATTGCAACTTCTTCATCGACAGTCTTGTCATGTCCTGCAGGATGCTATCCATACTCGAATTACAAACCGACATAATCTGGATGTTCGTTAGGACACTTTTTCACTCACCTCTGATGTTGCGTAGGTTTGCTGCGACAAACTAGCATCTGGTGTTACAAGTTCAGCTTTTTTTGTACCGTCATTGCCAGACGCCACAGCAGTTGCTGGCTCCGTCTCGACAGTCAACTTTCTTTGCTCTGGTAGAACACGTTCGGAACCAAAAATGGACCCCAATGGTTCCGGGACACTCGTCGCGCTGTTCAACAGCCGACTGGCTGCCGCAACACCACCACCTAAGCGGAATCCGTTAGCAACGCTTTCGCCGGAGCCTTCTGTGTCACGAGAAATCATTCGAGACCCGCCTGTGACGGCACCACCTGAACTCGTCCAGTCCAACTCGTTACACTCTTTTTCAACTTGCCGCATTAGCTGGTAAAAGTTGCCGTCGTGCTCCGAGTGTACCTATACGACATCCACAGTAAGGGTTTTGCAGTAATTTAAACAAATGAGTACCTGGACTGAACTTACAATATGCGCGAGCTCGTGAAACAGTACTTTCTTAATGCTGTGCACAATCAAGTCAATCTGTCAGCATCAAGGTAAGACAGCATCCCCTCTAGCGCACACACCTCAAAAGCTTTCGAAACCCAAGCAAATCATCTGTGCGCAATCGCAGCAAGATCTTCTGGCCTTTGTTTTGATTCAATCCCAGCACGCACACCGGGTCCACTCCAACCTTTCCGCTTGCCGGCATCTCAGCCAACGCACCCACATTCCATCTACCGACACCAAGCACATGTACACAACAGATCATAGAAATATGAATCAAGCATAGTTCGTAACTGCGACATCATATACATATTAGCAACGTACAACAACGTACTTATGTGCTGCCATGACAGCCAAAATGCCTCGATCGTTCGCCAAGGTCTCTAAAATCTCCCTCGCTTTGTCTTTATCGGCAAAATTGGGCAGCGGCTCAATCGCGTGAAAACGATAGCGCGGTCCTGCTGCAGATTCTCGTGCTTGTAGCCATTTGTTCCGTTTCAATATATTCACTTCAGGTCGTTTTTTGCTGCAGCCACACACAAAAAACGATACAGTCACATCTTTGCACCACTGCGGGCGGCAGTTTACTTTGGTTCCTTCTATGTACCGAATAATTGCCTTTTTCTGCTCAGCGTCTTGAGCAGCCTCCATGTCACTAATCTGAGACAAAGAAGCACCTTTGACCAATAGCAGCGGCGCTCCGTCGTGTCGACAATTGCTCATTTCCACCAGTAAGATTGACCCCTCACTGCAATCGACGCGTCGTCCCTCCTGAAACAGTCGCTGTGCATCGGGTGACACGCCTGTTGCCCGTTCAATTTCTGCTAGTAGGTCAGCAATTGTCGGTACAGATGCATCGGAGAAAGACAGACGGTGCAACTGGCCTTTGTAGGTCACCGTGAACGTCGTCATGGTCTAAGAACAATAGGCGGATCACTTGGTTTCTGTATTCAAATCGAATCTACAGAGACGCAATTGACATGTCCTGTCCCTTGCATGATATCCCTCTAAAGTACGAATGCAAAAGCCAAAAAGGTCGATTTCATCCGAGTCGTGTCCAGGGTCCGTGCGCGTTCTCATTCGGACGAAAAACCGACGCGTGATCGATTTTCCACCACTCGTTGCTCGCGACGTTTCCATTTTCAACCAATCCCGTACTCTCCCGTCCACTCAACGTCCCTACTTGGCGTCGCTCCCGCCCCGCCCGTCCCATCGCTGCGGCCTAGTGCCAATCTCTCGGACGTGGCCGGTGGAAATGCGAGGAGAAAGACGAGTCGCTCGTCGCATCACCTGTGCGCTCTCAGCTGCGGCCGCTACTGGCGCTCGAGGCCGAGACTGACGTCGAAGGATCTTTTACCGTGCGATTTGACGTGGCGGTGGTCGCATCCAAGCCCGCGCACGAGTTTTTGACCAGTTTTGCAGGCTTTACACGACGAGAAGAAGATCAGGAATCGTCTGCGTCTGTGGCTGGTGACTGCACTGGATAACATTGTCAAATGACTGTCAAAAGTGCAGCTCTGGATGCTTCAGGAGACCCTATCGCTTGTTAAGAGCTCGGCCAGTGCGAACCTTAGTGTTGCATACTCAAATCAAGTGGAGACGTTGGTGAGTGCTGGAAACGAGAGTTTGGCTGATGGTCGAATGTTGCTGCTTGCAGTGGCGCATGTACTCGACCAGAGTCCGGGGAAGGAGCTCAAGGTGCTCAGTGCACTGGATCGGTACTTGGGCAGCGTACTAAACGAGAGAGAGACGGACAAAAAGGAGGTTTCAGCCGCGTGTGGACTTTACTGCTTGCTGGTTGGCAAGGCCTCGTTGCACGGTGATCCTATTGTATAATCGAATGGATATCATGTCGACCAAGGTTCTGGAAAAGTTTGCGACGTTTTGGAAGAGCGTGCATAGAGTGTGTTTGCGGACAAGGGACTGGACGAAATTAACGTGGCTGTTGCCATGCGTTTGTTCACGCTGTGCACGTTGTCCACGGATTTCCAGGCGAATTTGTACGCTGATGTGGCAACGGCTCTGGATGTGGACGACGAAATGTAGAGCAATGGGTCGTACGTGCCATTACAGCTGGGCTTGTGAGTGCGAAGATCGACCAACTTGCTCGTACTGTGACGATATCGCACTCGCTTCAACGTCGTTTCTGGGATGAGCAGTGGAATGAGATGCACGAAAAGCTGCAGTCGTACAAGAAAAACGTCGGTGGCTTGCTGGATGGTATCAGGAACGCCCGTCGTGCTCAGAAGGCTCAGTAAGTCGAAGCTGTTCAGGCGAATGCAGAACGACAAACAGCGTCATCGACGCCTTTTCATGAATGTGTACTCCGAGTTTGAACGACGTTGTGGTGTCATCAAATATGAGATCCAGCTTGTTGGTTGATCTGCCTTGCGTGTTTTGTGCTATATGTATGCCCGCCATTCAGGTCGTTAGCGTTCAGAAGTCCTTGTTCAGCAAACAACAACAGCCTGTCTCTAGCTCGAGTTCCAGCTGTTGATCGACCAGAGTAAACTTCTGTAAGTGATGTTGTGATCGCCGGCGGTGTAGAAATGAGTGTCAGTCTGTTAGCTAGCGCTGAAGTAGAAGCAGTTGAAGCGCATCTGACAACGTCAAAGAAAGGAGATCGGCTATGGCCGATGTCCCATGAGTGAGTGTTGATTTAATGAATAGCAAGTCCGAGAACTCATGGCCGTTCGAGGATGGAGTAACTGCATCATCGGGTTTTGCATTGCTGAGGGACCGCGTCTGTATCGAAGATTGACAGGGCATGAAAGACTTTGCGCGCACAATCAACTGCGAAAGTTTAACGGATGGACCCAGTCAGTTCCAGTCGATGACGCACTACACACAGTCAAATCCGTACTAGGAACAGTAGCTTACCAACTCCATCAGCGTATAACTCATGCTCAAGAGCAGGTACAGACGCTAGAACTTGCATTGCTCCGTGACCCTCTGCATTCCTACGAAATAAGTGCGGATGCAGCACATCAAAGAGCAAGAACGATACATCAACGCAGGTTTGCTACCGAGGATACATTGCAGGTCACCATCGATGTCGTGTTGAGTCTCCCACCGTACAGGTGTAGCGCTTTTCATCTACTTAATTTAGCAAGCTAGCGCACTGCTCGACGAAATTAGACTTTCGCTTGCGTCACTTGGGCGACCGATCCCTACTGAAGTACGAATGAAATCCAGTGTTGAGATTCTCCACTAAATCTTCTACGACGTCGTCCCCTATGGCAAACACCGTTTGCGGAAGGCTACTATCGAGATACTCCTTATTCGTCCATTCGAAAAAAAGCGTCATCAGCTGTAAAGAGGTATATGTTTGGTCCTCCACTGCGTCCATATGCGCGAGAGCAAGTCTGCCTTTTCTTTCTAACTCTTTTATGAGGAGGCTGTACAAAGTCTCCACATTTTACATGGGATGTGTCTACATGTACTCTTTTCTAAAGACACCTGCACACGTCAGTATGATATCCGAGAAGGCCTTTGCTCCCGCCTGTTTGCTGTGGCAGCCAATATTCTACCGCTTGCTTGTTGCCAGGATTGTCGGCTGCGAACTTGACCAAAATTTGTGCAAGCTCAGCCGCGCCACCGAAAGTCTTCCGCCACCGTGTCCGCGATGTACCGGGATGTCTCCGTTACATGATAATTTGCGTACGATAATTATCACGTATGCATATTATGTGAGACAAGCACAATATTCTCACAATTTATTGCTTCACAGATGTAACACACTGCTAATTGATTGTTTAGCATCGAGATAACTGCCGATAAAGTCTAGCCACGACAGAAGCACGCCATGAGTGGTGCGCAGATGCTTACAATACATGTTTGTATTCAGACATAATTAAAAGAAGTCAAATAGGGACTAGTAAAAGGATTAACTAGACTAAATACAGTTCTACTTTTTACCTCTACTGAGTACTCTTACTCCGTACAGCAATCTTCCTCTGCACGCACGTGTACGTGAGGTAGTCGGACGAACACGCCCTAGCACTTTCAGCAGTGCAAGGTTCATTTAGTTAGCTGGATAAGATGTGCCCCGTTACACTTGGTAGCGATTTGTAGTCCGTTCAACGACCATGAACATGTTGGACGATGAGGAGAATAAATTTTATCTCGCGCACGAAAGCTAATCCCATTTTATTCAAATAGGAGTAGCTTTCATGCGTGAAATGAAATTAATCAAATGGTATGTCGTCGAATGTTTGAGTTCGGCGAAAGGACAAGAAGCCGTTGGCGCAATACTGTCCGTTTTGGGACCAGACGGACAGAAAGCCACCGTCGCCAAGTTCATTTAAAACGAAGTTGACGTCAAGCGGGAAAAGTTAACCTTGCTCCAACAACACAGTTCTCAACAGTAAGAGCTGTTGAGAGAACAGGATGTTCAACTGTTCGAAGTGTTAATACAGATGAAGGCCACTACTACCGGGTCGACGTGCACACGTCGACATGAGACGATAAAGACTGACATATCAAACTACAAGGGAGTTGATGCAGACTAAATGTTGAGATGGTTTGTGGGACCTGATGAAATCGTGAAGGCTCTCCAAATCGTCCATGAGCAAATGCAGATCGCATTTGCTTAATCAAACTTGGCGGGGCGAGCAAAGACATGGGCCTTGGGCCTCAAGGTTACACGACCAATACGTCTTTGGGTCGCTGGAAGTCTTCAAGTCCCTGCTTCAGCAATCATTTAAAACGCAGCGAGCTGAGTTTAGGGCAAGCTATGAGCTCCGGAAAACCAAGCAAGGTAAATGTGACGTACACTCGTACATTCAGTACCTACGTCATCTTACCAGCTGCGTAAAATTTGAGCCACTGAACGAACCATCGTTGATTACGTTGTCTGTGCAGATTCTCACTGATTTTCACGATAATACCTACCTGTTTTAGTTGAAAATCAACACACTGTAAGAGGCCACAAGATTGCGGAACAGGGGGACCTTAGCATGAAACAGGCTCACGCGAATTCGAGTTATTATCTTCCTTCGAAACGACATGAAAACGGAATCCCCGAATCAACGAACCTCTGACACGCGGCGAGCGATAGCTCTTGTCTTAGCAGCTACTAGGAATCGCAAACACGCAATATATGTCACAGGACAGAGCGTTATGCTTACAAATGCAGTGTCCCAACCGCGGTACCACGTACCGCAGGAGAAAATGACCGACAAGCGGGGTCCAAGCTGTGTGTTACTTTGTTCTGAGGACGCAACAAAGTAACATACAGCCAAGATACGTCCGGGGTCAGCGGGGACGGAGCACCCTACCGAGCCAGCAACGTCAAGTGAGGTTGCAGGCCTCTTTACGAAAGTTGCCTTCAGCACTCAATCATTGTATGTTACTGCATCTGGTAAAGAGGTTTCCCTTATTACCTCGAATTTTGAAGTGACACGAAACACGTCGCTTTGAGCCGGCCCTAGGCGATTGTGGTGCATCGAACAAATTTGTACAAATCCAATCGTTAGAAAACAAAGAGCTCAGATGCATATAGCGTGAGATCCCTCGAACGAAGATGACGGTGCACCTCGCGACATGCGCATCCGTAACAGTGATGAAACGTATAGTGGGTATCACCTATACACTGAAGGGGGTCCAATATAGTATCAAATTAGTCGTATTGGACTTCGATGACAAGTTTGATTTTTTTTGGACTGCCGTGGCTCAGAAGGTACAAGCCGCAAGTCAGCTTGCATCGACAAGCAGTTAATATGCCTGTCATTTGTTCGTCAGATGACCATTTGATGAGCGCTCCATGGAATTAATCAGCTTGGGGGTGTACTACGAGCGGATGCGATGGTCTCGCGTGTGCTTCGGTCGTCAGTACGACTGCACATGGCCATGGCGTGTCTGAAAACCACACTATAGAGCCGTATTGCGGCAACTGCATTGAGACGCAGGTCGCATCGATGGTCCACCACTCGAATAACTCGAGTGGTTTGGAGAATAGGGTTCCTTCAAACGTTCAACTCTTGAGTGACAATGAACAGATTGCCAGCGATTGACAATGCGATGATATTGGCGCGATTGGAGAATTGAAGGAAGAAGATCTTGTTGTGATAGCGCAACCATCACCAAAGGATAGCGAAGGAGCAATTACACTCGTGTCATCTGATTTTTTATTACAAGTGGATAGTGAGAGAATAAAGCCCCACCCAACTGTGGGACAACATCCTAGGATGCAACAGAGACACCAAATGTCCTGTTTAATGAAGGATGAAGTATAGGCACTTACCAACTTAATCTGATCGCGCCTCTAAAGACAACTTTGGAGATCACTTAATTACCCGAGACTGAGCAGAAGAGGTTCTATCTTGATCTGTATAGTGGAGAAGTCAAATAACTTGCGTACTCGTCGCGGAAGGCGAGTTTGTAACCGACACTCGGTTGGCAAAGGTGTTCGCTGTGAACAAATGGGCTCTCAGTCATAAATCGACGAGATTGTTCGTGATGAGAAGACTCGGGTTAAGCGATACATCCCAAGTATAAAATCGCTCAAGACAAATTTTCTCTACGATAATTTGATGGAATCAGGAGATGCGTTCCCAGAAACAGTGCCGTACAATTATTATAAGGATAGGGGTAGTGTACTAGTCACGGGATATGTCTAAAATCAAGCTTAGAGTACTGTGTCATAGAGCAGTGGACACTGCCTCGTGAACGGGTCACAACGATCGACAATTTTTTGCCGATTGCTTGGCAGCGGGTCATGTGGGAAATCTACATACCCACATAGCCCTCCGATAATATATGTCCAAAAACAGTACAGGCGAATGCCGGATGGTACATACCTCTAACAAGTTGAATGCTGCATTTGTACCATCTCTACCGCCGATACTAAGGAAGGATGTCATTAGAGATGGTAGGGCAAAGATTATCATATGTTCTATCGATGGATCTGATGAACGGGTTTTATCATATTTTAAAGCGTTGAAGATTCTTCCCATACACTGCGATGAGCACCCCGAGTGGTACGCTTTGGTAGTGGCTAGTTATGACACAGGGACTAAGTAATGCCCCTGCTACGTTCATCAGATGTGTAAAGAATACGTCGCGATCGGTGCGAGACTTTGCGTTTAGCTATTCTAACGACGTGTTTGTCCATAGACGGTATATATATGATTAGACGGATGTAGAAATTCACCGACTCCACGTATAATAGGTTTCTTACAATGATCGTGAACGCAAGTTGTACACTAACCTTAGGAAGTGTATTTTCGCTGCTAGCGACCCATAATTTCTAGTATGC